CGTACATCTCGTGTGTATGTATATAAACACTAGTGAGTAATTAATGATGACATACTGAGAGACGTTTTCACATGTAATATTTAACACATAAGGAATTAATTTTCAAGGACAAACAGGTATTTACATTTTGTTATATACATATGTATTTTTATAGATTGTTAATCACCTGGATAAGGCACTGTGTTAAATGGTTTAAACATATTTATTTAAGCTCGATTGCGAAACAAGTTCTTGCAACTTATATTAATCACTTTCGAGTCTGCTTCCTGGAACCAACCAGTACTGGTGTCATATGAAGAAACATGGTCGTGACCCGAGTAGGGCTCGAACCCATGATTTCTGGGTTGAGAGGCAGACACCTTTACCACTAGGCCACCGCTCCCCTTACGTTTGGGTATCAAGAAAAGGGGTAAGTGATTAGTGATGGTGATGGGCTCTTGGGTTCTGGGCTCTGGGCTCTTGGGTATGGGTGTTGGTATCACTAACTATATATAAATGTCTATAGATGGTCCCCTCAAGGACCTCGAACTTGCTAACTAACAAAAATAAATACATAAACAACAAAACACACACAAAAAATACAATGGAAAGTTCCAAAAATGAAATCGTCCAACCAATGAAAAGACAGGAAATGAACTCATCCAACAATAAACTGATCCATAATAAACACGTGATCACACCCTATAAATACACGTGCAGACAAGAAAGTCCTCATTCTGTGAACAACAACTTGGATATTAACATTCAATTGGAATAAAAGGATTATATTGGATTAACTGTGAATAAAGGTAAGTGAAAATTCATACTTAGAACTTTAAAGAAAGTAAAAACACTTTGATAAAAATAAGCAACCAGACAGGTTTTAATCAAAGAGACACCTATAAGTTTCTCAAATTGTTTTTACGTTAATTTTTACATTAACTAATCAGACAGATAGACAGAGACATGGACACCGACCAGACCAATAATGCAAACACAAACATGGGAAGCGGCTTTGCGCCTGCAGTACACAATCTCAATTGCAAAACAACCAGATACTAACACGTACTTATGCACGCACAAAAGAACACTCACACATTACATAAGCAATGCAATGACACAAGACAGACTAGAAGTATACGTAGACCCCGACGGGTACTGGTCATGGACATGCGACGCGGGCTGGCAATACGTCCCTTACGACACCTTGGACTCCTTAGAACTGGTTCAACGAAGTCATGAAAGCCAGCAGCTATAGGATAAAATCACACACCGTAAACATAGGAGACATAACACCCATTCAACAGAGTCTGTCAGCAAGTAACTCCACCCAGATACAGTCACAATTCGTGAGTGCACCCAAAGTATGGATTGGTACGGACCCAAGAAGGTTCTGGACTTGCAAGGCCATAAACCCTAAACTGGTCGGACAGAGCTTATACAGTCCAAACAGATACCTCAAAGTTCCGGAACCCACATCCCTGCAGGAAGGCTCTCTGAACAGATGCATAACAGACTTAGGAAAGGAATTCGTGCAATCCACAAACAATGAACACATAGAACCGGAAGACTTCCCCACAGACATAGTCAACGATAAGCACGGAATGTTAGACATAGAGGAAATGGCACCAGGAATGAATTACAGTTACGGAACAATATACGAGAGCAGCGAATGTCGATGGTACCCCATTGGCAACTTCAACACCACGGAACTCAGAGATGTGCCCTTCGCAAACAACTTTAAGACAACAGAATGTCCCACCACCACAGGAGACATAGAAGCTAATTACGCAACACTCGTCAATCACAACTTCTTAGACGAGACAAAACCCCTCCTTATTAAGGTAGCACCGTATTACTGCGAGTCCGGAGCAATCAACATAATAGCCAAAATAAGAGTCACATACGAGTCCACAATTGAGTTTAGAACGTCTGTAGACTTGGGCTTCTTCACCATGAATCTGAGCGGACTGGAATCCAACATGCTGGCAGGCGACATATGGGAGATAGCAGGAATACCTCAAAACATGTGGAACTTGAACAGACCAAGAACGCTGACAATGCACAAAGTGGGACTGACATACAATCACACAAAACAGAACATAAACATATCGGCTGGACTTCAAAGAAGAAGAAACAGTGACGACGGCTCAGGAGACAACCAAACACAGGATGTCAGAACAGTGGCGAACACATTACTCACCAGTGAATACGACGTAAACGCAACCTCAGACACACCAGGAGTACCGGCAACATTCATTCCACCACACTCACTGTGTTAAAGTAACCTAGGGACATTTTTGCCAAAGTACGCATTTAATTTCTATATTCGACTTATTCTACTTATAAAAAAACAACTTAATGAACATTAGCAGCCGTCATTTCTGACATTGTCACAATACCAGTTGTTTAACATAAATTAATATATTGCGACATTTAATGGTAGTGTTGTGACATTGAACGGCAAGGGGAAATGGTGCGACATTTAACGTCATCATTGCGACAGTTAACGGCAAAATGTTTTGCGAGATGTACAATTACCGGCTGTTGCGACATTTAGCGGCAAGGCGACATTTGGCGCTGAAGCGACATATAACTGGCCACAGAGGGTAGTCAAACTCAGCAAGGCTTTACAAAAGTTGCGATTCTTCATCACAAAATGGAATTTTATGCTTTACATGTACACAGAATAAGGTTTTACATGTACGCAAGATTGGGGTTTACTTGAATGTTGTCTGCTACACAAGTTAAACGATTTACAGTGATATATGATGCATAAATATTGTGCAGATAACAGCCATTGTATAACCATGCAATATTTGGTCTGAAATGTTACAGCCTATTGAGTATAGTGTGATTTGATTGGCTGACTAAAGCCTGCTATCTGGGTTATATCCTTGACAATGACGTCAACAATTACCAAGCCAATCAATGAAGAGATGATAAGTCTTTGCCACTACAATGCTTTATTGGCTATGATTGTTTATTCAGCAATATATGACAATTGGTCATTTGATACAGTGTACTGATAAATCAGATGTTTATTGTTTCTATAAACTTTCAAGTATCATATTTCATTTTGATCATTATAAACAATGCGATATAAATACTCGCTTCACATTCTTCGCCTATTAAGATAATACATGTAGCGAGATGGTCTCAAACTATTTACGCCAATCAGATGTCTACTTTCTACTTATTAAATGCAAACAAATTGATAGATAAGATAAAATACATGTGAGAGACAACAGTTTAGGGAAACAGTGGTCTTGTGGCTAAGGTGGTCTGTCTAACAAAACAGGGAACATGAATTTTGGCCTTACTGCGTTTACTGCCATGATACAAGCGAGACACGCATGTACGCAGAGCTCTCATTGGTCAAAGTCTTACCTCTGACCAAGATGTCGACTTACATGCTCACTAACATGTCTACTTTCGGATTTGATTTTGGCGTGTTGTTTTGTTGTTGTTGTTCTTTTAAGTTCGTATTTAGCTATATTACATGTTGTGTTTGGGTATAAGATTTAGATATTGACTCCTTTTAATAATTACCGGTAACTCAGGATTATGCTGTTTTACGACTGGGTTGGTGTTCAATCATGGCATTTGTACAATAACAATGATATCAGATCTTTTCCTAGGAACATTCTCGGACACTTAGACATAAAGTATTTCTAAGAAAACCCGAGGTAATTTAAATGACCGTTCTTTTTTCCTTTATAAGCAATCTACTCCCTAACATTTACATCAATTTTTGTTGAAAATTGCTTAAAAGCTGTTGTAATTAAAATATCAACGGTAGACGAGGGCACATTCTTGCGGGATAATAACAGGGGAGTTGGATACCTTGTTTTAATATATATACTATGTTTTTTTTATACAGATAACCAGTAAGTCCGATTGATCTGTGATATTTTAATGATCATTTTTATGCATTAATATTCATTTTAAATATGATTTTATTCACATCAATATATTTTTTGGGGTTGAAGAGAGGTTTTGGGTTGGAGTACTAGTTACTGCCGTACACCTGTGTATGCCACCAGTACTGGTAAGTACAAGGAAAACAGACTCGTCAAGAGTGGTTGAAATATAATATATTTCTATGGTAGTTTTGTATATATCAGAAAGAGACAGAGATATTGCAAACAAATTTTATTAACTATGACTTTTTTGTATAAAAATATATTATGTGCACACAAGATAATAGCAAGTTCATCAAAGAATCATTTTCCCTAATACCGAAAAGCGCTGTCTTTAAAAGATAACAATATACAAAGAAAAATTGTCTGAGCGACTTTTATTAAAACGTTTTGAAATTATGAGTTGAGCTATCTTAATGGGAGGAAATGTCGCACCAGCGTTTGTTTGGTGACACAAAAATGTATTTTTAAATTTGTTGTCAGTAGTACATCTCACTGGGTACATTTTATATTGGTTTGAGTAATAAATAAACAAGAAAAATATAAAATAAATGTTATAGACTTATGGCACGAAATATAATTTGTTCGTAGTAATTTCAAGTATTGTTTTATGTCTGGTTACATATTACAATTTTCAGATATATTTATATATGTTTGGATCATTAAGATATATATGTAAAGTTATCATCATACATTTCAGGTTATTTTAATCAGCCGATATTCCTATAATATAGATATTGTACATATTTAAATCACAAATAACGCTGAGTGAATCTACATTTAACGTTAGTAATCATTCCTTAACCCTGTTACATCCTTTCAACCCATTTCATAATGCATATAATGTACACATATAGGGCTAACCCTGTTTGTTCCCTAGATATACAGCATCTTTATTACGTGTCATTATGTTAATATTATTTTTAAATATCAAATTAAACAAAATAATTTATAAATTTTTTAATTAAACATAAAGATTCCTTCCCTCCAAACAGAACAACGGTTACTTTTTGATACAGTCAAACATGTAGTTAAGACTAGTGCTGACAAATGATAAAAATACAACTGTTCTGTTTGTGTGTGTGTGCGTGCGTGCGTGCGTGCGTGCGCGCGCATGTGTGTGCGTCTCTGTGTTTTCTTCTTAACTAGTTGATATACACTGTATTTATTGGTTATGAAATGGAACAGAACAAAAAAATGTGCGGTCATAAATAACAGGTTTTCGTTTAAAGTAATGACTTATACTCTAGAAGAGTTATCAAATACTGTAAAGTCAGCTTTTTTCAATCGACCATAATTACCCCGAAATCAACATTGCTGACTAAATGGCAAAGTTAAATATTTGCGAATTTCTCCACTTAGTTCAGTTTAATATATATATTATACTTTCATAAGCTAGTAGCTTCTTAAAGAACATTTTCCGCGAAAATCTCAATTCGCGAAATAAGAAAAATTTAAGCCATCGCGAAAAATTTCTGATTTCACAGTAGAAAAGTCGTCTCGGCTCGTGAAAATATGTGGCATTTTATCATGTTTCGTGAAAATATATTCCATATTTCACTCAAAGGAAAGAATATCCTCTTAATATTTAAAGATATTTGACAATTTAGCTAAAAACCTGTATATAGGACCATCATTGTATAATTAAAATTTCAATGATTACAAAACAACATTGTTCTGCTATTGATTAGACTGTACTATTATGAAATATATCGATTAATGCAGGCTTCAGTATAATCAGACACGTTATAATTCATAATGTATTCTCGCAAACGAAATCAAATATTATTTTCTTTCTTCTGTGTCGAAAAAAAGATTGTAACCAATTTAAAATGTACCATGGTGTTCATTCATTGAGATACACACCCTGACTTAAAGGGAAACAGTGTGTAGAACATGCAAATACTGAAGGACATATCAAGTATTCAATGTCTCTATCAGAATATTTTGTCGTTACATTTTGAATATATATCAAATAATGCCGTTGAATCTACAACTTGTATTAATTCAGCCAATAGTGTCAATTTCTGTTTCCCATATCAACTTGAAAGAACGTCTACTTAACAAAGATTATGTTATTCCTGGTCGTATTGTCACTTAATAGATAAAAATAGAACACAAAATTAGCCAAAATTTTAACAGAAATTGGTTGATACCATTAGATTTTAATATAACATAAGGACAAGCGCTTTCGGTATTATTATATAGGAACAAAAACGTTTTGTTTTTCCCCTTGGATATATCATCTCTGAATCATGCATATTAATGTTTCCTAAAACACATTAGATGTTTCTCAAAAGAAACAAAATATTCATTAATAATAACATAACCACTTCACCATGTCTAAACATGCCTGGTGCAGCATTTGGATTTCCGTTCATTGTTGTATTTACTGTTGTAGATGTTACAGTGACTGCTGATGGTGAGATGACATCTTCCATTGCTGCAACAATATATAGAAATGTAGATAGAAATTATGATACACCTCTTCCTAATTGATTACTTTTTTCTACTTTCTGGCAACATATAATGAACGATTGCTGTAGAACGTGTCCTACATTTTGGCAGATTTAATAACTTGAATCACTGGACATTTTAGACAAAAAAAAAAAAAAAAATACATTTAATTAAAAATTTCTTTTTTACTTCATACAGTACTAACGTACCATTGTCGTATTTAGACACGCTTACTACAGATTTACTATCCCGTTATATCATGTTAGTATAGGGGGCAATAACTCGTCATTTGGAGGTTAAGAACTCTTCTTAAAGAATACTGAAACGTGATGTCATATCATTAATTAACATGAAGATTAACAGACTTTTACTGAGCTGCAAAATAAAAACTTCACCTAAAATAATAGACAGCGAAATGAAAATAATGTAAGAAAATACATACTTTGGAAAGCCTGTATCTCGCACACAGTCAGTATGGCATTATTAGGTCTGGTAAGGACGATTGATAGAACAGCCGTATCATTCACAGGTATGGTGAATATTCCGTTACCATAGTCACAGCACGTGTTGTCATATACCAGGACCTCTACTCCGCTCTCGTTCACAATATGTACCAGGAAATCCTTTGTCTGGGCTAGATGATGATAAACATGAGTAATTTAATAATTTAGTTTACAATGAGATACGTTATTTCATCAGTAGGATATTAGAATATTATATCATTTGTACGTATCTATAGTGGTTATTATTAGTTAAAAACCCTTAACCAGCGTAATTTTTTAAAGTAGACTTGAGGGGTATGATTCCTGTACTTTCTTGTTGAAGATTGAATGCCGCTTAAGCCGGTGCTGGAGGGCGTAAGGGATGCCCCACTTTCTCCATTATCCCCCATGAAGAGACCCAATCAAACCGATACTGCAATGTTCATATAATGATGTTATTTGTGTGATCTCCCCTTCTTTCAGATTTTATTGCTCAGCTTTCAGTTCTTGAACTGTTAATTCAATTTTGGAGATATCAAGATAAACGTTGAAATTGGTCAACCATCAGTATAAACTCAGGTTAGACTACTAAGACGTTCAGGCTTGCCTGACTGAATACTAGTGACATTTGCTATTAATTTATCATAGCAGAAATATAGTAGAAAATTGACATGGTAATCTTAAACTTGGAGTTTAAAGAATAAAGATGACTTATATACAATATATAATGTGTATTCAAAAACAAAACCATAATAGATATATCAATAAAGAAAGAAGGAAATTAAGAAAGCAAAAAACATAAGAAAACAGCCTACTTTCAGTATCTCCTCTTCCGTATATAACGATTGTACTGATGTTGTAAGCTTTGTCGAAATCCACTCGGATATAATTAGCATTACCTATATCTGTAAATATATTAAAGGTCTACTCTATATGTCTATGTCAACTTTACTTTTTGGATCTCAATGTGACTTTAATGTTAAAGATTAAACATGGTTAAGTTTCAACTTTTATTTAACCCGAGACATGTTTAGTGTACATATATTACCGTTCACAGAAAGAAAAGGGTTATTATTGGAGGAACGGAACTTGTATTTGACTCAAGTGGTTTCTACTGGGCCACGAACTCACGAGGAGATAGATAAATAGTTTTATTCTGGTAAAAAATACATGTCATAAAACAACTACAAATTCAATGTCAACATCAAGAGATACATGTAAACATGAGAGTGCATGTGTTGATGCCATATATTCAATACCAAGGATGACACAAAAAGAAGGCATAAGCCGACGCGGAAGTGCGTTTGGTCCATAAAGTCCATGCGTCAAATACATTTTACTGACCAAGATATTTCTATAATTATTCTTGTATGATATACTTTGTCTGCTTTTAACTACATGTACAACCATAACAAGCTGGTAGAACGCCGACAACATAATTCTGTAAACTTTCTGAGTGTGGTACAGAACTTTTCCTGTCCTGTTATTTTTGTACATGTGATACATGTAAATATGCACATGTATATAATAAAAACGGCTATTTTTCTAATGAATAGCTTATTGTTTTAATATTAAACATATGTACAGGTATGTGCGTCTGTTACTGTTAGTTGCTCCATTTCATTCAGATTTCGATCCTAATTAAATTCTTCAGACTTCACCTTATACCCGTATATAACTAAATATATAGTACATTATCTTTGAATTCTGATTTTGCCAAAGTATGTTAAAATATGCAAAGTCTATACACTATAAAATCTATATCATACCTGTTGATGCGCCACAACATTGTTGATTGTCAGGGTCGTCTTGCAATGTACAGTTATCTACAACATTGTCCGCTGTCCAGTTGAACCCATTAAATTCCAAAGTCTGTAATTGGCTGGCATTCTGACCGATAGCAACGTTTGTTCCTGTGTAAAAAAATGCAACTGAATATTTACTTTCTATATTTATAGAAGTGTAGTCTGATTTATTCATTACTTTAAGCAAATAAACAAAAATATTCATTTTTGCCAAAGAATTGTTAATTATTATCATTATTTTTTGGCTTTGGTGTGATACTCCTGTGAGTTTGCTAAAAACTATAATAATATGATATACATATAATTCAATATTGCCGTGTAGACTGATGCTTGTGCTTCTTTTCCTACACTTAAGCCTGTTCCCACACTGAATGAAAGACACTTCGTACGCAACATCAACGTTTTTATACATACTGTATGGATTACATTAATGAAAATTGATCGCGGAAATTGACAAAACAGATAAATCAACGTAACACATTGCCGGTAAAAATTTTTGTACACAATTAACAGAAAAGAAAACCCCCTCAAGATTTAGTAGAAATAAAACATGAGTACAAAATACAAAATCACAAAATCATTACAAAAGGTTACTATTATTTTATCAATTGCAACTTTTCGGCCCTTTCCGTCAGTTTTCGGACAAAAACCTCAAGAAAACACACAGGTGTTCGGAGCGTTGCCATGACTTCCACTTTACCACTATTTCCCCTCTACAACCCAAAACATTTAAACATCATCCAAACATCATAAGTATTGACAAAGATCAATTATATGGAAAAAAATTATGACTAAAAAATTAAAAGGTATTTTTCTCTACTTTCATTTTGTATTGAAAAAAATCACTAGCATCTCGATTTTCAGTGCAAATATAAATCAAATTTACATCGACATCGATCTTAACAATCACTATGTGTTATTTATCACTCCGAACAAATACTTCATTGGAACACTGTATTGTTTGATTTTATTAACCTGTCAATTCCATACTGATTATACAGTCAATGCACATAATACACTAATATTCGATAAATGTTCGGTAAATTCCGTGAGAAGTACGCAGTAAGATGTGATTAAATTCATCTAGTTTCTATGAATTAGTTATACTGACCTTAATAGCGCAATTGGGTGAACCACGGGTATATTTTATCTGAATGTTCAACGTTTTGTAAGACCGAGACAGCTAGAGTATGTCCAGTTTTTTTCTTATTAATAACTATTTTCAACATTTTTGAGGTTATGGTTGTTCCGTTTTTAATATGTTTTGCATTTTTTTGTAAATACTATACATTTGTATATAACATTGTTTAATAATTAATACTGAAAATTCATTCGGATTGAAATTAATAAATGTAATTTCAGTGCCGTAAAATGCAATACAAAATTAGACAATTCAGTGTTTCTTAGTTGTTTCTTATCCCAATGGACAATTTTGCAAGCGCTTGACCATTTTCATTAAAATATACGTAAATAAAAAGAAAGAATAAGTCTAAAAAAAAGAATATCAAAGGAAGGGATCGAACCTCGGACCTCTCATGCTTTAGTAATCACTTAACAGACTGCGCTATCGCGGATGTTACGAGAAGCTAATGCTAGTTTTCCAAACGTTAGTTAAATATTCCATATTAATTCTCGTAAAATAAACGGACACACCCGAAGTGGAATGAGTGCTATAATGTATTCATAATTGACAGGTCATTAAAATCAGACTATAACTATAGGTTTTTATTGTGAAAAATGTACACAATGTACACTTGAATTAACAGTCAGAGTAACTCCCATTGGCCTATGGGAAATTAACATTACAAAAATATTGTATCAATCTAACTTTTACTGTCAGAGCTTCACGGACCACAGCCGTTAAAAATAGTGAGTGTTGTGTTTATTTTCGAATTTCTAACTGTAAAATATTTTTTATATCCCCCGAATAAGCTGGGAACACCCAAAACTAGCCTTAATTCTGAAGTACACTGGAATTCGCTATTACCTTCGTTATCTGTTTACATCAATATTGACAGACAGGGCTGGCGATAATTCTTATATACTACTTATCGCCTAAACCTTTAACTATCTAATCAATCACTCATTTTTATGCGTTTAGCATAATAGTGTAGTGGTAGAGTGTTCCCTGTGTGAGTGTAGTGACCCTAGTTCGAATCCTGGAAAAGGTTTTGCTTACAACAAACTGGATTTAATTACCCGTGAACAAACATGTACAAAATGCTGTTTGAGAACATTTAGTTATACAAACATTCACATTCAACATGATTCAACATGTTAAGTATTAAGACAACACAGTCGCGGTTATGGTGGGTGATAAATGAACTATGGAAGAAAATAATATATGTACAAATGGGCCAAAATTGTTAAAAATTTGGCGAATGGAATTCAGATTTTTAATCAGAATAAAATTGATAATATAAGTACCATTCAGTCTGTTCAATGACAGTTAAAAGTCAAATAATTGTACATTGTACATTCAATTTATATATAGATGGTACTGAACTTTAGTTTTAAGAGACTCCCTGTCATATGTGACCTTTTTCTGAAGATCCTTTGGAAAGTCACATATGACACTCTTTATTGCACATTCAATTTTGCTTAACCTTCATAAGTTAAACTTTATAACGGCGGAAATGTAAAAGTAAGTGGCACTCTATAAAAATACATATTCTGAAAGTAAAAACTATTCTTAAGAAAATAGCATACTTAGATACTAGTTTTTGAACTCGAAAAGTCATGTTCATAATCTGAGATCTTCATAATCTGAACTCTCTAACCACTACGCTACTAGGATTTGCGTGTCTACATCCACTTTTATGCTTCTATATTGCAATTTAAATGCAAAATGTAATAACTGAAGTACTTGCACAACCCAATTTATCATAATGGTAGAATTGTGTTTTAAACATGTATATTTATATATTGGACATGCATAACCAAAATATTAAAGAATTACCATTTTTCTGATATCTTTTCAAAAATACGTAATTACTTAGATGAATTAAATAACATAAAACAACATAAACGAGACAGTTGGTATAATCATAATACATTTTATAATAAAGAAATATCCAAACCTTGAGTATATACCAACGAAGCCAGCATAACAATCAGAAACACCGACAGGCTAAACACAAACACCTTCTCCATTGTACCAGCCCAAAGTAACTTTGTCCGTGAAGAATATCTCTTTTATTTTAATTTATCATAGTAGCAACAACAATAACAATCTACCAAACTGATTTATAACTAGGCTTAATTACAAACAAACACTTCACATATACGTTCAAATAAACTTTCATTACTAGCAATAAAGATATGCGGGCCCCTTATTCCTGTCCGCCTAATTATTTGTTTAAACAAAAATAAAATAATATGGCAATATGGCCATTTCAAGTTAGATTCTGTGTGCAAGATTTAACAGCACATAAACATGTTACATACCCGATTTTGCATGGCAATAGAATACTATCACGAGAACAAAGATCGTGAGCAAACATTCTATTTGTTCTAAAATGTATGAAACCATACAATATAGTTCCTGTAGAGGACATGCGTAAGATATACAATAGAAAAAGTTTCACGAAGCGCTCAAAGAAGGAACTTTCTTTCTATGACTGTATGAATTCTGATTACATAATTAATTTTAACCAACAATGTCATCTTCCATGTTGTGATAGATTCAAATAGCTCTGAATTTGCCCAGATTTCTTTTTACATGTCTTTGTTCAAGGAAAAGAGAAACGATAGTGGTATTAGTAAAAGAATAAATATATATCATTACAAATTTCATGTCTTCTATTTGATTGATGTATATCCAATTTGAAGTACAAATATACATATTTTATAGATAAACCAAGATATAACTTAAGTTTGTGCTAAATACGGGTAAGTGATGATTTAAGATTATAGTATACAATCGAAATACCAATGTAGAAATCATCACGTATTATGTGGCGGCGGTAAATTGTCGCCCATTGCCTTCATCTCGTGGTTTCTGTATTGGCCTTGGTCAAGTGTATTTTCAAGGACAGGAAGTAGGAGAGTGTGATATTCCATTTGAACGAACTTTCATTGTCTGTTCTTCTATCTCAGATATTTGTTCCTTCCAATCTGTCAAGTGTCTTTATCTTAGTTTAGTATAAGTGAAGTATTATTTTCATAGACACTTACGAGTACAACTGACAACTTTTTAAGTGTACAATAAATACTTCTGAATGGCCATGACTTTGATGTGGATGATATTTGCATGTTAACGTGAATAGAGTCTAATTATGTATTAACGTCAAAAGTAAACCAGCCTGAGAAAACATGTCAATCACTATATTATTTTCCTATGAGTGTGTGTTAACGATTACAACTTCAGGCGATTTTGATACGATTTCCATTCATGTTCTTGTTCGAATTTAGGCGTTTGGTCTTTTTTGGAGCCCTCTAAATTTACAACGGCCGAGCGCTTCAGATTATTTTTTTATTTTCTAAAACTTCCTATATTTATCCTAAAAGTTATGCTTACGCGTATTTTCACTACGTGATTTAATTGTATTTCTTACTTGAGTAGTTTCTTTTTGACTATACCTAGTTTTATATAAGAAAATGAATAAAATAAATAAATCCGCAAGATAAGAATAAATTGACACTTTTCAAAAATAGCCAGTCAAAGACTGCCATGTCCCCCGCCGAACAGGAAAAAAGTTACATAAAGAGGACAATCAATCGCGCATAACACATCAAAAGGAAAGAACCCAAACAGTACAAAGCAGGTATATTCACCCATGCTTTAGGCTGGTATGTCTTGGGTTATAGCCTGGGCAAAAATGTTGACAATATATATTAAACATGACAATTATCAAATAACTCCAAATTATGATGCTGACAGTTGTCATTCTTGTCCTCTACATTTCTTCTTACTGTGAAATCCTCCAATGAAGTTTCGAATAAATAAACCCCCTCGAACGACCCCCCCCCCCCCCAAAAACAACAATAACAATTGTTATTGCTGTTGTTGTTAAAAGATGATACCAAAAAACTTTCAAGTTATGTCCCGGACCAAAGCTAAGCAAGAAAATAAAATAATTAAGTATGAAATAACAAATGGTAATAACTGAAAAGAATTTAAAAGGTTTTAAAAGGAATTTAAATGCACTCCTCCTGTATGTGATAGGCCTAGTATTAGATCTATCCACATATAAAGTTACATGTTAAAACCTCAAATACCGTAGTAATGCTGCGGGGAGAAAATCATTTTTTTTTAGTTACGCACATAACAAAAAATCGGGACGGAATAACGGTGGCTGATTTACGTCATGTCGTATTTTCGCTTCTTCACCTCAAAATGCGAAAACACAAAGGGACGGCAGTGCTAGACTTTGTCGTCTCTTTTTTTTCTCGCTTTTTCGGGT